GTGGTTCTAACAAGTGTTTGATTTCTTAAGTTCTTTTATTTTCTTTTTCACTTTTCCTAGTTTGTTGCTGCTAGCTAATAGAATGTACATTGTTACTGCTAGCATGTATTGTTTTTTTTTACTAGGACCAATATGGTTTCCAACTCAATGTTGTTCCAGTTTGAGAATAAACTGAGTTTAAGTGTCTTTTTTTTTCCTACAATCTAATTGACGAAAAGTCTAGAACCCTACACATTTACCTTCTTATGGTAATCTTGTCCTAGATGAAAAATTGTTTTAGTGATTTATTTATGTAGACTGTTTTAGTTAATTAATTTCAATATAATTTTCTTGTACGGCAAAACTATCATATCTGAATATGAATATCATGGACAAATTATATACTACAAACCCCATTCACATTATTAGTTTACTATGGATAAGCATATTATATCTCATTATTCCTTTGTGTGTGGTGCCTTTAAAATGCTAATCCTAAAAAAAAATAGGTCAGGGATTCCCCTGCTGATTCGGTCAAAATGCTAATCCTAGTAGGATTTTATTTGTTCTTAAGGTGGTTGTTTGACATGGTTCTGGTGTTTATATTCAAAGGTTGATGGGTACAAATAAACATAGTATTCTATTTAAAATGGCTATCTTTATATTAATGGACCTTTATATGATGACCTTTTTTGTTAGATAGTACTCTGTAGTTACTTGAAAGGGAGCATATGGGTGTTCATTTGTAGAGGTTTCTTGTGAACAATATTTGATTATGAGGTATATGATTAAGAAAGTCATAACATGATTGATAACATATTACACTAATTATATCCATATATTTGTTTTGCTTTTGTGTTTTCTCCAATATTTAGTTTTGTGGACAAAAATAACTCCATCTATCGTCTAGTTGGTGTCGTAGAGCATTGTGGTGGATCCTTCATGAATGCAGGACACTATGTCGCCTATGTCAGAGCAAGAAAGATTAGAAATCGGCAACAACAAAGCAGCTGCTCTTCCTCATGGTTTTGTGGGGGCGATAGTAACATCAGAGAAGTCACCCTTGAAGAAGTTCTCAAGTGCAAGCCTTATGTTTTTTTCTACGAGAGGATGGAAGGCAAATACATGTTTGGCATAAGATATGACAACTCATCAGAATAACAGTAATAAAACAAACTGATTAGTGAGATTAGTTAGGATTCTTTAGATTGTCATTGATTCAGTTAGTGTACATGTTAGGGTGTTGGTCATACCCATTTTTTAACAGGGCTTAAAGTTTCATTCAATCCTACAAACTAAAGTCTTTGGCTTTCCTATTGAGGCTGGTTGATATCCTTTGATTATTGTTTGGCAAATTTTGTCTTTTAGGATCAACCCATGAATGGAATGGGGACACATGGCTTGGTCAGACTGGTTAATTGATCATATAGGCCTTAAAGGTTGTGTTGGATGGTAGTGTTAAATGCTAATAATTTACATGCATTGTGGACAAGACTCGATAGGACCTTTTTCTTGATGCATTGAATTTTTTCCTGATACTCTGAGCTTTGGTTGAAGCAACATTATCTGCAACATGCTTTAAATAACCCTTGAACTACAATTACAGGCTTACTGTTACCTATAGTGGGTAGTCATGGTGGGAGCGGTTGAGCGGGTATGGGTCCGGTTAGGATTAAGAGGTGGGATTTGGCTGATGGGTGCATCAGAAACCCGATACTAAAAGAGAAAATTCCTTATTTGACACTGAAAAAACTTGTTGTTCCCAATTTAACACCTAAAGTTGAAATGTTCCTTATCCGACCTCGGCTGAAATTTACGTTCCCAGAATGGCACTACTGTCAGAATGGCCATGTAACGGTGTTAACTGAGACGCAAAAAGATGATTTTGCCCCTCCTTCAGCTTTTTAGTCTGGACACCTTCTCTCTTGTACAGGAATTATTGTTGGCCGGCACGGAGGTGTTTTAACGCCATCTTTTTTTTAATTTAACATGGTTGCTGTTCCTGGAGTACAAAAATGATTTGGTGTTTTTTTTTTGACAATTTTTGCAGCATTTTTAGGCCATTTGTGCACCTTTTTTTTAGACAATTTCTGCACCAATTATTTGGACAGAGTGCATAGATAAATTTTTGCAGCAATTATTTGCACCATGATAATAAGGCAAACAAAGTTGAAAGAACATCCACAATAACATGAGATCAACATTCAGATTCACAAACCATCCGGGTTCACATCCAAACAACATAAATATGAGGTTCATATGCACGGTTCTCTTCACATAAATATTGAGACATACAGTTCACATCCAAACCAAAAGACATGGCATTTCAAATTTCTCGATTCACAAACTCGGTCTTCTTTTACTCCTTGTGCTCATTGCAGGACTTGTGGGTTGAACCATTTTGCTCCTTGTGCCCATTGCAGGCTATCAAGTACCAACTTCTTTTTGGAGTCTTTTTAGAAATTACCTTCTTCATTTTGCCCTTCCCTTCTTAACACCTTGGTTTCGCCAATTGAAAGTCCCTCGGGCTGATTGGAGCCACTTCGTGACCTATACATGTTCATGTATATCAACAATTATTTAAAGAACATATGTAAAAAGTGCTATGCAAAAGAAGTCCGGACTTATTACAGCTACCTTTTGGAGCCTGCGAGTTCGAGTTACCAAGTTTTTCCTTTTGTTACTTGAAATTTCCATGCTTTGGCTACTAAAAATCAGAATTAGTATATTATACTTAGAGTTCAACATGAGCTTTCAGATTTAGAAGTACCTTTTTGAAGCTTCGAAACACAAGTCAAGATGTTTTCTCTTTTTAGTAGTTGTAGCCTCCAAATTTTGACTACAGAAGTGTGAAGGACTATAATGAGTCACCATGCGATGCAATATAAATTCAGAACAATGAGAGATGAGGAAACCTTGGTGGAAAGGACATAGAAGCTGCTGGAGCTTCATCTTCCAATGCCATAATGGAACTTTGATCAGATACAATTGCATTTTTTCTCTTTTTTTGGTGGTCCTCTACATAAGAAATTACAAATTAAACATTTATTGATTGTACAAACTATGCATGAATGGAACATGAAACATTGGCACGTACCTCACAGCTTTCATTGCTTCTATGTCTTCTTTGCTTCCCTTTTTGCAGTTGTGCCAATGGTGGCCATAGTCTTTACATATAGGGCATTGGTGCTGCCCTTTCTTCCTTTTATTGTCACTACAGCCTTTGTGCCTCTCAGTTTTAGGCCTACCAGCAACAGCTTTCAGCAGTGGTGGATGCATGAAAAATTCATGCTCAGATTTAGGCCATTGAGACTTGTCAGGCAAAGCAGGGATTAGTGCACTATAAGCTGCTCTAAACTTCTCAATGGAGTAGTACAAATCAACATGTTTCTCAATAGGTTCATTAGTAAGTGAGGTAATAAATGCTAGTGCATGTTTGCAAGGAATGCCAGATACATCCCATTGTCTACAAGAACATGTCCTGTCAACCAAATTCACCACAAACCGAAAGCCACTACCACCAAATGCTGTCACTTCAGCCACATCTTCTGAGCACTCTGATACTTGCAAGGTCAATTCTCTGCTTTTCTCATTCAACATCTTAATTATGTGAGGCAAAATCAAGCCATCTAATTTCTTCCCAATTTTCCTTCTTTGGTTCCACTTCACCATAAGTAATTGTCTAAGCTTGTCCATGAAATCATCGAGATTCATAGCCTTAAGGTCCTTAATCCAATTGTTGAAGGACTCAGCCAAGTTGTTGGTCACATAGTCAACTTTACAAATGGTTCTGAATTGACTTCTTGTCCACAACTTCTTGTGACACTTTCTTAGGTAATTTGTTGCAGCAGGCTTTGCTTTCTCCATTTCAGTCCAATGTTTCTCAAACAAGTATGTGTTCCATGAGTAAGCTGCTGCCCAAAGGTGGTCATCAAAAACCTTCCCATGATACTTCTTCTTGAAATTGCTAACCAAGTGGAACATGCACTCCCTATGCTCTGCTTGAGGGAACACTTCAGCAACCCCTGCCATCACTGCCTGCCCTGCATCTGTGCTTATTGCTAATCCCCTTGGTGACCCAATAGCCTCCCTGAGCTTACTCATGAACCAGATCCAATTTTCATTAGTTTCTGAATCAAAAACACCAACACAAACTGGATACAACCAATTGTGGCCATCAACTGCATTAGCACTTGCCAATTGCCCCTTGAACCTGCCTGTCAAGAACGTACTGTCCACTGCCAAGTAAGGTCTGCAACCATTAAGAAAGCCATCTATGCAAGGTTTCAATGCAAAGAAGAATCTCCTAAATCTGATTTTCTCATTTATTGTGTAGTGATCAATGATTACTAAGCTACCAGGGCAAGAGTTCTCCACTTGTGCCTTGAACCTAAACAATTTGTTGAAGCTGCTGTCCCAATCACCATATAATTGTTGCAATGCTAACTTCTGGCCATAATATACTCTCTTGTAGTGAATATGCACTTTGTGATGTTCCTTAATCTTCTTTTGCAGTTCTCTTGCTCCTAAAGTAGCATCTTCTATTAGAAAGTCCTTCACCTTCTTGCATACCCAATGTTTAGTTCCATTCTTCACCTTCTTTTTCCTTCTAGTGCTAGAGCAATCATGCTTAAAGTTGTTCTTCTTGACCTACAAAACAGCAGCATACATTATTAGTTAGACACACATAGCAAGTATATAATGGACAAAATGAAGAATAATGAGAATAACATAATGAGATCTCCAATACTTACCACTACAGTCACTTTGTCTACTGTTGTAGAAGCATGTATTTTCCATGGACAGTTATCCAAGACCTTCCTTGAACAGTAACCCCTAAACCTCTGCTTTGAACTCTTCTCTGTGGCGAATTCAAATTCATGTTTGATTGCATGCTGACAAAGAGCCAACTTGAACTCGGCCATATTAGGATAAGTAGAGCCTGGTTCCATAGGAGGATCTTCTTCATCATAATCAACAATTGGGTGATGATTTACTTCTTCATATCCCCGCTCAGGGCTCTACTTCAACCTCGAGTCATCCTCCAAATCAATGTCACACTGTAAGTCAGATTCCGAGTCATCCTCGAAATCATCTTCATCCTTAGCCACAACCTTTTCCTTCCCTCTATCAGAACACCCAACCACACTTAGAGCATTGATAGGTTCATTTTGCATGTAAATTGTCTCCTCATCAACACTGACATGTTCATTCATTGGATTTGGATTTCTTAGATAATCATCATCGCCTTGGACCTGTCTAACATGTCAAAGTTGCTCTTCCCCATCAAAATCCCATTCAATGATAGGCTCAAATGTTTCAGGGATCACAATAAATAATAAACATGTCTACAACCTTCTCCTTATTGTGCATATCAAACATGTACATCAAATCTTGGTCTGAATTTACTTTCGGAAAAGTTTTCAGAACATGATCATAGTACTGAATATGAGCAACTTCCAAATAACCTGGTGGATACTTGTCTACAATTGACTCAATGAAATCCATATAATTTGACAAGTCCGAATCGACAACCATATCAAAACTAAAACATTTGACATCCTTTCTAGCCTTTTTGCGATTGCCAAGCAATTTGATTTTCAGCAAATAACTGGTATTTGTATCCAGCCTGATATTTCACAACAATAGCAGCATGCATCAGATTTCAACTATCTATGTACAGGCGGTCTGTGTACTCCTAAACTGCTAATTGGATGGAACTCATGCAAGGACAAGGGACCTACTAATACATGGGCAACATTCCGTGTCTTTTTTAGAAATATCAGCATATGTGCACGACGTTTCCTTATAAATCAATCTCTTTTAAACCAGCTAAATAATTTTTCATATGAAAATTACTTCACTTATAGTCAGACTGTGCAAGCAAATCTTAGCAATTGAATGGTAAAATACATGCAAGGCTATGAGTTGTACTTCTATACACAACCGCTAATATTTCCAGATAGCCTTTTTCTTTGTCTTCTCAACGTATTTGTCCCCTAGGCTTCAAAACTACAGGTGTTTACATAGAACTAAAAAAAATAAAATCTTGCAGTTGGGAGTAAACATTGTGCAAGGCAAAACAAAGTTCTAGAAAATCCAAATATTTCATCAGTCTTGGAAATTGGCAGAGCGCGAGAAGATTAAGATATGAGAGGCATACTGTAATAAAATTTAGCATTGACACGACATTTGATCGAGCACCTTGTACGCATAGCAGATACTACTACAGGAGAAGGAAGCTAAGCTGCATCCGCTGACATGCTCAACATCTTCGGCAAGCAGTGCACAAGAAGATGGAAGGCAACGAACTCACCCTGTACAGCCGGCAGCAGTGCAGGCCGCCCCACCCGTGGCCGTGCTGGCGTCGCGCAGGGAGCCTGCCCCGGCCCTGCTAACGGCGGCGCCCGCCCTGGCCGTGCTGGGCTCGCGTAGGGAGCCCGCCCCGGCCTCGCATGCGGCTCCAGCCCCGCCCGTGTCGGCCTCTGATGCTCCGCCGCCGCCGTCGTCCATCCAATGCGGACGAAGCCAAACCCGATGAGATTTGAAGCCCTATCCCCTTTTCTTCTCTCTTTCTGTGTGAGCCAGGGGCATATTAGTCTTTTAACAGTTGGCCCTACACGTCAGTTAACCATACAGTAGGTCCAAAGTGACGGTAGTGTCATTTTGGGAACATAAATTTCAGCCGAGGTCGGATAAGGAACATTTCAACTTTGGGTGTTAAATTAGGAACAACAAGTTTTTTTAGTGTCAAATAAGGAATTTTCTCATACTAAAACTCTTTTCCGCCCCCATCAGGTCCGAAACCAAACCAGCCCGACTGCCATCCATTCTTTTTCTCATGCGCCATGTGTCCGTGCTCGGTGCCCGTTTCGCACGGCGCCAGCTCGGCTCCTCGCCTGCGTGGTGATTGAGCGCGCTGTTGGGTCTGCGCAGAGCGAGACATACCATGTTTATGCAAGCACATGTTCCCCAATTGCCATTTACATAAAACGCAGAGCAACACGTTCCTTAATACAATGATGGCTTCCTTCCTAGTTACAGTACTTCTAAGTTCTTTGCCAGCCGCCTGAGTTACACCGTAGCACGATGAATACGAGGACATGAGCGTTGATGAGATCCTCTACACCTATAACCTTTCCGCAGCTTGCTGCTTGGAGTTGGGGGCCACCCACAGCTCTGCGAACTTCACCTTGGAGATGCTCTCCAGCACCTCATACGGCGTGATGTCCCCAATCACCACCACCTTCTTTTTCTCCAAATCTACCTCGAACGACGTAACACCTGCGCAAAAAGACAGAACAGGTTAATTTGAGACTTTGTTTCTTTTTCCTTTTCTTGAGACGAGAGGAGAGGCATCGTGCTTGGGGCAGGTGAGCTCTGTATAGTAGTACTAGTACTCTACTCCCAGTAGCAAACAGGGTCCCAAGGCCTTTGTTTTTTCCTTTTCGGAAAACGAACAGAGCAGCCGGCATCAACAAGTGTAACCCAAGCTGGAGCCAGAAATGTGCCCATTCCGGTGCAGGAAAAGAAACGGCATTCTTTATGGCGCCCGGCAATGGGCCGTCGGAGTGGCGGAGGCACCACCAGTCCACCACACAACACAAGCAGCTGAGCCGGACATGCACATGTGCACAGTGCAAACATGTGCCGGGGCCCGGGTCGCCATGCCTGATGCCTGCCTGCCCAGTGCCCAGTGCCCAGGCCCAGCCGATACGACACGACGCCAACTCACGGGCAATGGGTGATCACTGGAGGCCCTCGTCTCTGGTACAGTAGTACTATATATTCTTCACTCTCTCTCAGCGGCGGATTCACCGCGGGGAGGGGGAGGCTCGAGCCCCGATACCGGAGCCCCGGAGGAGGACCATGAATCGTATGGCAAAAATTTTGGCAAAAGTTTTATCGTATAGGTAGAGCTAAGATTTAAAATCGAGCAACAGTCAAAAATATATTGCTATCATATTTTTTTTAATTAGTCCCCTAAAATTTTTCCAGATCCGCAGCTGACCGAGGCTCTGCCAGGTCCCGGCATGTCTGCCGATCCATGTTCACTGTTCGGTGCGATCCAGCAACACCAAGGTTCCAAGAAGAGCACAGGAGTACTGGACTCTAGTAGTAGTAAAACGATTTTTTTACGAGGAAATAGTAGTAAAATGATTGGGGGCTCGCACAAAGGTCAACCACGGGGCCGCGTTTTTCTTGGTGCGTCTGGCGATCTTGACCCGGGTGATGTCATGTCCCGTCGCTGCTCATGCTCGGGATGCTTCTCAGCTCTGTAACTTTGTCCTCTCTGGACGGAGACGACCGTGCTCGCATCCCAAGTCACACGCCTATTGTAGGAGGTCGCGCTAGTCTATTCTCTACTGGCTACTCCGTACTGCTGAGCCTAGGAATTGAGGCGGGAAAACTGTTGCTCTACTCCGTATTGGGCTTTTTTAGTTCCTAAATTTTTTTGGTAGTACATATCACATCGAATCTTACGACATATGGATGAGTACTAAATATAGACGAAAAAAATTAATTACACAGTTAGGTGAGAAATCGTGAGACGAAACTTTCGAACCTAATTAATTCATAATTAGACACTAATTGCCAAATACAAACGAAAGTGTTACAATAACCAAACCCAAAAAATTTTGCATCTAAACGCGCCCTTGACGTGCGCCATGCCATTTCTCCTCGCCCAAGTGTTTCGTTTCACTAACACGAAATGCACACCATGCAAGAACGCATCGAGGACACTGCTTTCTTTTCTTGATGAAACAAACATCGAGGAAATGTTGGATGTAATCCGCAAAAAAAAAAAAGGTAATGCTACTGCTACGTGCATTTGGGCCTGGGGTGTGAGCTTTGCAGTCCGTAAATTTGCTCCACGTACCAGCGTTTCTCAGCTAAAAATGTATGGCCGGCCAGCGGGCCAGGAGAACTGGTTTTTCCAGAAGTAAGCACTGCTAATTTTACACTAGCGAAGGCTGTCTCTTAACTCCCTTGCGCAAAGGTGGGAAAGTGTCAGCTGTGCGCGATAAACTTGTATGAATATCTAGTTTACCAGTAGGTCTGGTAAATAAGAAACATGCCATCTCTTTTTATTTACCCCCCATGAGGCCATGAATCCATGATTCTAGTATGAAAGGATCCTGAGCACAGACGGACAGACCCAAAAGTGGCCAAGGATAAGGATGATGATCAGTTGTCATACCGTCCATCTTGGAGATGTGCTTCTGGACTTTCTTGGCGCATCCATAGCAGTGCATGGACACCTTGAGCTCCACGGTCTGCATCAAACAGAGCACGCAAGACAGATGATGCAACAGAGAGCATATTAATCACGGAAAGGTAAGCAAAAACGAGCAGAGGTTAACAACATGTTCTGCTGTAGTGCAGAGGTACGTATATATCTGAGACAGTCTCAAGGTAGATACTAGATAGATAGATGTCCGCGTACCTTTGGCTCGAGATGGAAAGCAAGAGTCTTGGCAGCTCCATCGACGAAGTCCCTGAGCTTCACCAGCTCTTCCAGCTGGCTGCTCACCAGGGCCTTCCGCTCGTTGGCCTCGTCCTCGTCTTCTTCCTCCACGGAATGTATGCAGGCGCAGGCATTGGAGCACAGGGCGGAGAGCGAGAAGCAGTCGAGGACCTTGTCCAGGCCCAGCTTCGTCCTCCCCATCCGCCCTCTTTCTTAGCTCTCTCTCTGGCTGTCAGCAACTGAAGCTTCCAAGTTATATAAACACCACACCAGGGCCTGCAGGCTGCAAAGAGCAAATAAGGGCGTGTTTGCGACCCTGTAGCAGGCCTGGGCAGGCCTGTTCTAAGTGGTGTAACTGCTCTTGTTTGCGCCTGTGTACCCAGTGAGCCCGGCTCAGGCGAGGCTATATTTGTCATCGAAGAAGCAGCCGGGCTGAGAGGCTAACCGCCACCAACTGCCACACCGAGATAGTGTTTGTCATTTGGCTGTGGTCGGCCAGGCCCATAACAACAAACAGAAATAGACATGAATGAAAGGAGAATGAGGTTGCTCTTCTATAACCGTTACAACAACAAATCAAAGTTTCAGCATGCAATAGTTGGCCTCAGACATGCTAGTTTAACAATTCATGGCATTACGGGCTACATGGGATAATCAAAGTCGATGAAGAAGAAATAAGAGACATCCGCTAGTCAAGTTTTGAAGCCAACAAACGAAAAAGTTCACGTAAATGAGATAGAGGCAAAGAAAATGATATGTAGCCGACTAATGCATCGATCCATTGTGTCATCATTGGCCAAAATACAACATTCAACAACTTATGCGAGAAGGGCAACAAGTTAACGTAAAGCATGTAGCCAACTAATACGGTCATCCTATTGTGTCATCATCGGCCTAATTAAAACAACAAATTGTGGCTCATGAACAAACTTTTGAGTGATGACCAACTACAACCATAAACAAGATCAAGATGACAACATTTTTTGCAACAAATTGCAAAATTTCAGTGAATGAGGATAGATTTCGAACTTGAGTCATCACCAGCTCATGGGATGCTAATGCATCCCCATGAGGGGCATGAATTGGTAACAGCAAGGGTTCTTGAGGTACCCTTGCATTAAAATCTCTAAGAGCATCATCATAATTGTTGTACTTCTAATAGATAGCTCCTTCTTCCCTAAGCACTTGCTTAGCATACTCATACCATGTAAAATAAATCCTAGGTTTCTTCCCTTCAAATACCACATAGCAGGGAGGCATTCTCTGAAACCAACCAAATGTAGAACATGTAAGTGGCCTGAATGACATGCCTTAGTCGACCATTCAGTTTCAATGATGGTGAACATCATCGGCTACTTGATAAAAAAATTAGCCTCAGCTTAGTAGTTTGGTGGTTTTTTCCTTGTTTAGTCATTGGTGGCTACCAAGAATTGTAAGAACCAAATAAAGACATAAATAAACAACAGTTGCACTCACTGCCATCAGCCATCACAAGAGGATGTTGTTGCTTTGGAGTACAACTGAGCATAAGTGTAGAATGGAAGGATAGGCAAATAAAGAAGAAAGCACAACAACAAAACCATCAAAACAAGAATAAGGTAGCCACCTCAAGTTTGTTTTATGCATCATAGACCTTTAAATCCCACAGTTACCACCAGAGGCATAAACAACACAAATAGGCAACTAGTTATCAAATAAAAAGTAGCCAACAGAGGCTACAAATAAGTTTCTTACAATACCAAGTTCAAATTTAAATGCCAAGGGCTCAAATGTTCCCAAATCCTTGCCTCTTCATTAGCCACCCTCCTAGGCAAACTACACCATCAAGGTCAGTGTGTCAAAAGAACAAGCAGATCGCACAAAAGGTCTTGTTGTCAAAAGAAGAGAGAGGGGTGAGGGGGTGGAGGAACTATACATCTCTGACAACCAACCCCTCCAGCCTTCTAGCCCTTCATGTGTAGTGGAACTACACATAGTAGTTTTTGGCCGGAAGGTCCTAAGCCAAAGGGCCCTGTGGGCATCACTCATGTTCACAAAGCCCCTGCCTTGGGCCTTGTTGTCCAGGAGGAAGGTGTAGGCAACAATAAGTGCCTCCTCACTGAAGCTAGGCATCTCCATCACAGCAAGGTACAGATTGGCATCAACATGGGCAGTCCAGGTCTCCCTAAGAGCATTGGCCACATTGTTCACACATCGACATGTGTTAGTCAACATGAGCATCTCCTCCTCGTAGAAGTTCCTCTCTTCCTCTTTGGGCCAAGCCAATGAGGAGGTAGGAAGCGATTCAGTGGCCTTGCTATCCCTCCTGCTCACTTTGGGAACTGTGGTGTGGGTCAAAGGAGGACCATCAGCCTTGGCACCAACACTGTCAGCCTGGTTCTGCCCTAAGGCTTCACCAGACCCAAGTGCAAACTTGTCTGTGGCCATGGCATTAGCAAAGATAGCCTCCATCTCGAAGTAGAACCTAATAGGACAGTTAAGAAACTCTACATCTTTAGGATGGTCCTGCAGAGTTGGGCAAATATAGTTTAAGAAAGGCAAATATAGGTAGTCAAGGCAAAGACGAGATCAAATCGCTACCTTGCAAAGGGCCAAGGTAGTGCTCTTGCTCAAGCATGATAGCATGAGCCCTGGTCATCCCAAAGAGCACCACTAAGGTCCTTCAACTTGCTCACCCTAGCCCATTTCTGCTCCACTTCCTCAAGTGGTTGTACACTTGAGTTGGGCTAACAACCTCCCCACAGTAAACGACTTGAGGGCTTTGGCCACGAATTCACATCTTTGTCCTTGAAAACCTTGTCGTGCCCTGCTACCATCACTAACAAGGGCAGCCATCCTCCTTAGCACAAAGCCGTGAGGTGGTGTTGGTCCACCTCATTGCCCTCACAAATGCCCCATTCCTAGCTACAGGAGCAGCAACATCAACAGGGGTTTGCTACACACGAGCAAAAGACTAACACTAAACACCAAATGCAACAAGGGCAAGAACACTAGCACCAAAGACCGGCCAACAACAGGCGGTAACCACCATTGATGAGCTGCTCCATCACTGAAGTACCAACAACAAACCCACCCTCAAATGCACTGAATCCATCCTAGGACTGGCATGTAATGAAATCAACAACAGAATTAGTCAAGAACAGACTGACAACAATATTAACAGGTGTATGAATAAACAACAGACTGACAGATCATGAAGAATAGAATAATTCAAGAACAGAATGAATGAAGCATAAAATTGGTCTCAGCTTTGTCCACCAAATTATTACATCACCATGACACACACATGAGTTCCATAGCAGGGTACAGAAACTAAATTCAAGAACATATTACATCAACTAGTGTTTGTTCCCCTCCCTTCCCACATAGCATTGCAAATGGCATCCCTTATTTCAAATACCATGTCAACAGAGTCTTGGTCCAGATGGGTTTGAAGGCGGGTTGGTTGGATCAGCCAGAAGTAGTGAAACATTCCTCATCAGGCACTACTTCATCAATGCCAAAACCTAGGATCCAGTTATACAAAATGGCACAGGCAACTACAAGCTTCACTTGTGTCCTATACTTGTGGAAGGGTTTGTTGTCCAAGATCCTAAACCTGCCCTTCAGTGCACCTATAGCCCTCTCCACAGTCACTCTAAGTGATGAGTGCCTAAGGTTGTAGAGCTCCCTTGCATTGGTGGGCCTGTTCCTTGGGCCATACTCAGACAAATGGTACCTAACCCCCAGTAGGGAGGTAGGAAACTATTTTGCATGCATACCCAAATCTACCAAGAACATTTTACCTACACAAGACATCTCACTGTGAGAGTGTGTGTTAATAGGCCATGAAATATGTAATTAGTGTTGGTGTGCAATTACCTTCTGGCAAACTCAAGCCATCTTCCCACAGCTCAAACATCTCGCCAAAATGGAGTTGCATCATGGGCGAGCCCCTCCCAGCTAACCCAGACATAAGTGAATTTTAGATCACAATTCACAGCTACCATCACATTTTGGGTGGGATCCTTTTTCCTACCCCTAAAAGCTTGTTGCATGCGCCTAGGAACCCTTGCTAGGAAATGAGTCCCATCTATAAAGCCAATGACATCCTAAAAAGCATGGGCCAGTCATTGCAACAGGTCTAATGTAACTAATGAACCCAGGGTATACAACTACCTTAAAATATGGATTCCATGTATGGCTTCTAAGAATCTTTGGGTGAGTGGTAGTGCTAGCTGGCTTTATCATTTCATTCCTAAGCTCACCCACAGCATACAACACCTGATGGAAGTGCTTGTGGACAGTTTGGATGGACCTCCTAAAGGACTGGTGGACAACCCTAAATCTTTGGTTGTGCCCAACAACATGTAAAAACATGGCAACCTGCTCTTCTACTGACACCCCCTCCCTATCAGTGACAAGACTTCTCTCTCTAAAAGTTCTCACTAACTTAAAAAAAGCAACTCTCTTCATCCTAATCATAGAAATACACTCTGAATTAGTGAAATTGTATATCATTCTCGGTGTTCTCTGTCTGCATCTTTGTTCATTTTCATCCCTAATCGTGGCCAAGCTATAGGATCAGTCAGTGTGGTTTCAGGTTCAGGGGTTTTCCTTTTCAGCCTAGTGGATACAAAGGTAACCATAACAATAGTCAAGGCAGCTGCCTTCCTACACAGCATGTCACGGCTCAAAGACAGATCCATCTACAAGCATGTAAAAATGTAACATGATTTCAGCTTAATGTACCCTGCTAGGCATCAACATGAATGTGAAATGAATGCATGCCAACAAAAGCATCTACAAGATCTTGTATGTGATGCCTCCCAGTACTAAATTTGGACAACATCATCGATCAATGATGGAACAAAAAACTCAGAGCAATAGTAATCAGAAACAGATCAACATCCCTAACACATCAAGAACAGCAAGGTACAAGTAACACTAACAACTACATCAAACAGTTATGAACAGCAAGGTACAATACTAATCTGAAACAGATTAACAACCCTAATAGATCACAATCCCAACAAATCAAGAACAGCAAGGTACAAGTAACCCTAATAGGAGCATGAAGCAGTTATAACAAGTATGAAACCCTAACAGATCATTAACAGCAACGAACAAGAAACCCTAAGAACTTCAAGAAGCACCACAAAAAAGAAGATTGGGGGTCGATTTCACCTTGGCTCGGGGTCCAAACAACGGAGAGGAGGCAGATCTAGAAGTAGATGATGCAGATCGGAAAGAAGACAAAGCAGATGCGGACGGAGAAGAAGAGGAACACCGCTGCCACGGAGTCCCAGCAGCAGCCGGAGCGGGGATGTGGCGAAGAACCTCGGCGCCGGTGACCTAACCCACAACCAAATGGGAGGTCGCCGCCGCCACCACGCACCACAACTCACCGCCCGGTCTCTCACGAGGGAGGTGGAAGAGCAAGCACCGAGTGGAAGAAGGAGAGAGTGGAGAGTGGGAACCGGTATATAAAGGCAGCGAAATCGCCGCCATTTCGCTTTCTTGGCGGGCGGGCGGGAGCGGAGAGAGAGCGGGACGCAGCAAAGATTCCTTCCCCTTCCCGCCAGAGCCAGCAGCGAGCCACCCCGCCGCCCAAAATCGCTTCACGTCGTCGTCGCGAGACGAGCTCGGCTCCAAAGAAACGAGGGTTTCGGTCGTTTCCAGAGAGCCAGGCGGAGAGGTCGATTTTTGCTCTGGGAAGCCAGACTCGCTTGTGGGCCATCGACCACAAACATGGCAACTTGCAGCCCACGGGTGCAGCCAGGCCTCTGGGCCAGGGTCGCAAACGCGCCCTAAAGCACCCTTCCGAAAAGCAGTCAAAGGCGTTTGCATTCCCCTCTCCCTCTCTCAAGATTGGCCGGGATCTACTGGCGATATGCACATCTAGCCTAGCTACCTATCAAGCTCTGCGTGAGAAGAGACAAGTTTATATGCGAGCTGAGCAAGCAGCAGGCCGGCCTACCAAAGTACTGCTTCAAATTTATTTATTTATTTTGGGGGGGGGGGGCGGGGATGGCAAGCCGGCAAAGTCATATATGTACACTGTACTGTAAGCAGGAGCGTCGTTGAAGTGGTTGAAGTGGTGTGTGCTGCTGAAAAGCTCAAAGCAGCAGCAGCTTCTTCCAAGAAGTGGGTTTAAATTTGGTTGATGATGCATGCGCCGGTTTGACGAGCAGACAAGTCCATGTGACAATGTGCAGCAGCGTACAAGGGCATCGGCTTAATAACCATATATAAAACCATCAGCTGCTCGTTTCAACGGTGCGTAAACGATCGTAAATTTTCGATCGAATAAAGATTTTTCTCTCACACCAAACCAACCGTGATTTTAACCACAAACCAAAGAATAAAGCCAGCCCAGCCGAAATTAATCGAACAGGCTGCATATCCGCTTTGGCCTTGCGCCGACGAGAGGATAGATCTCAAATTCGGTCGGGGAATATGAAATTCCCCGTATGTCGTGTCGCCTTCGAAGACGTAGGTATGCCAGAGCGGTTGTAGCCTCGATCGGTACGTCACGACTTTTGCAAGCGACGACGGCCGTTTGTTTAACCTTTATTAGGCGATATATCAATATGCGTTGTATACGTAGTAAATTGTAACCAAACATCGAGTCATCAACTGATAAATATATGCCAGACTCGTCTGGTCGATGCAAAATATTCGCGGACGGTCCCTTGTTATTGCAGAGATACGCAACGTGAGTAGTGTTCTTTTGATTAATAATCATAATCGCACCATCACTCGTGTGCTGCCGTCACCTTTTGCATTGCTTGCCGAAAGTGCATTGCACATCTGCTTCACGTGACAGGATCCGAATGCGCCTGCGTCCAATTACGAGTGCCAATGACTAATCAATAGCTAGCCACCAGTGTCTTTCTTTGGCGCATTATCAGAAACGTTCCTCTTTGGTAAAAACAAGACACTCAGTATGTGTTTTCCCTTGCTTTCTTCTTGCAAATTCCCTTGCGTACTGACCGAGAAAGAAATAAAAATCTTAAACATGCCTATCTGTGGTGTCACTTATCACCCTTTACTTGCCGAAAGCGCGACGAGCACCCAGCTTCATGTGATAGGATCCAAATGTGCCCACATCCAATCCAATTAGGAATGGGGTCGAGTATGTAATCAATCAATGGGCCTGTTCGCTGGCTGGTTTATGGTCTGATAAACTTGGTTAGTGCTGGTTTGTTGTGAGAGAAAAATACTGTACCATAGCTGATAAGCCCTGACTGAAACCAACGAGCGAACAGGCTAAATAGCTAATGTTTGTAGTTACATGCGGCATCTCCATCGCCCCAGCTTTGGTTATACGTAGGTGAGTCGCCAAGGGAAAGGGGGCAGACATGGCCGGTGGGCCCGGCACGGAATTATTGGATCAGTTGGACAACGGCAGGCCACATGATGCCGTACGCTTGTCTTGCGAGGATTGGCTGGCTGCATGTCATCTTGTGACCTGCCTGCCCCCTCAGCAAATTGCTTGTACAGTAGAAGTAGAAACATGGGATCGGACAACACATCCAAGACAGCCACAGGCGAGTGACGTGTGCCGAGCAATGTGCCATTCATGCTTTTGTGCCCATACTAGTGGAAGAGAGACTATTGTGACCCAGTGAGTGAGAAGCTAGGGTGAAGGTATGGGGGCGTTTTCTTCTTTGCCAAGAATAGCCATCATTCGCTTAGGAAAGCTTCCGCACGTCCGGCGCCTTCAGTACAAGAATCAAACTGTTCCATATGCATGGCGTCATGTTTCTACTGTTGCTGGCTGCTCATGGAGCTTGGAAATGGAAGGGTGCATGACTTGTACAGCCGATAGGATGCTGCCTGTAGCCAGCTCACATGTTCAGGTGGCCTTCCTTGCCATGTAGTGATGTACAGCCAGTAGCCACTAGCCAGAGGGCAACGTGAGGATGTTTCGCGGGTGCGGGCGTGGGGCGCCAAACCAATGGATGCTGGTTGCTGGCGCAATGGACCTGAAGTGGGCACCCCGGCAACCCCCACCACTTTCGGTTGCTTCATTTACAGATAGTAATAAGCTCAGCAGCATGAGAGGTTTTCGCTCTCTGCGCCGGGCATGAATTTGACAACAGACTGGCGCTCCAGCAACCTCCCCTGCTGCTCATAACAGAGCAACTGAAAACCCCTGAATGCGAATGGTAATACTAACACACTATCGACCGTACAAGAAAGCAGTATAGCTTTCGCAATTACTCCATTTATTTTAAATTGTAAGTCATTTTTACTTTAAAAATTATCTTTTAACCAAGCTAACAGAAAAAATATATATAAACATCAAGATTTGTTAAATATACATGAAACAGCTACACTCATTCATTTATGAACGTTCGAGGCCATAATCTTGTATTCCTTATAATCTAAAAAAAAATGAAATATACTTTAACAATGTATTTATTTGATATTATGGGTGTTAATATATTTTCTATAAATTTGGCCAAAGTTAAACAAGTTTAACTTAGGCCAAAACTAAAGCGATTTACAATTAAAAATGGAGGGGTAACATGTTATTTCAAAGTTCTCACTACACACACCTTCATGAGCACTTCAAAGCAGAAGTCGAGAGCAGAGGAGCAGAGCAAGAGTTACCACAAGTAACCACTGAGTAGGTGAGCAAGAGTTACCACAAATAACCACTGAAGAGCTGAGCAAGGGTTCCCACAAGTAAATGGGCAGAGATCAAAATCTACATATTTCCAGAATGTATAAACAGATAGTATACTTTTTACTCTCTTTTTTTCTTCTAGCAACCACTGAAGAACTGAAAGTGACTAGAAAGAATGAGATTCTCATCAACCCGTGCAAACACGCAGCAACAAAATAAGGACACCGAAATGGCGAAACCAATGTGTGATGTTTATAATTTTTAAAAGAAATTTACCATATTCTGAGAAGTTCATATAAACCTATCAAATTCCAAGCAAAGACTAAATCACATTCTGAAGTTCTGAAAGAGAAAAAAAATACCACAAATAGTGATCTTTCATTTTTTTCACTGTTGATGATTACTATTTTTAGTTTGCTGTCAACTCCACCATAACCTCCAAAGGAGCGCTTAAGTACCAACATTTCACTAATACAGTTTCTAAGCGGAATGCAAAAAACTATATGAGGGGTACAACTCATGATCAGAAAACAAGTGTGCTTACCTAGTACCTGGTGAACGAGACAGAGAAAAATCTGTAGCTTTACAAGGAAGCAGGACTTGGTCTTGAGAAAGAACTTAACCATTCGGCAAAATGACAACAGATTGCAAATTCTGTACCGACAGATGATTCAGTGAATCCATTTGAACTATGAAACTTTTCACAAGGCAAAGCTCATCTCTGAGTATCTGAAAAATTGTAAGTCACGTCAATCTTTGCACTGGTGTCAGCACATGGATCATAAACCTAATATATTTCAAAGATCTTTGAACTTACCTGCGAGTTCTGTTTTGAAGATTAATAAATTCATGACCTTTAACCTCTGCTGTAAATTGAGGAATCAGAAAAAGAAGATAACTGGAGATTTTGGAATAAAGTAAGAATGACCATTTAAATAAAATAATTATTTGAACACAAAGAGAAGAAAAGAGAAAAGGACATTAGTTGGTTCCACCTGGTATTTTTTGGTAAGTCAGTGACATAGGATATTGGGAAGTCAGTGAAATAGGATCTTTCTTTACACCATGGTCACTGCAATGAAACGAAATAAACTTCAAATAATGGGCATGTGTTCTTGCTTTTGCTGGGTCATATCATTAAGAACAAAACAAGTACTATCAATTCTAGAAAGCATATTGTAATATAATTGGCAGGTAATGCATACATGGAAAAACACGGCTGTAATGGACTGGCAATGGGAACATAGCCTGAGGAAGTTAGTCGAGAATCTTAAGTTGTTATTAACGGCATTAGCTACTAAACAAAGAGTTCTCAAAGAAAATACATATTGCGATTGTACTGAAGTAAACTAAAATATTTAGCATCAACCTAATCAAGGAACTAGGATATTTTCCAGTATCATGTTCAGAATTAAGAAGGTAAACTTGGTTAAAATATCATACAATACAACCAGCCATAAATACTTGACGCTTTGGTTATATACCTACAAATATGTGAGTATGATACCTAAAACTGTAATACACAGGATAAAGCTTGAATTTACCTTGGCGATGCTAATGGAGATGTAAGTTCAAAATGTTGGAGACAATTACTACCAAAATAAGGTGGACTGATTGCTCCTTCCTGAACCCCAGTAGCACCAGTCACAGTCAATATTGGCGACCTACTTTCACTAGAATAGACCATACAAGAAATAGGAGAGCGCAATCCAGTTATAATCAGTGCCACAGCTAAGTAGTAGTGCTGGTTATATATGAAGCGTCAGAACCAAAACGAACTAGCTGAGTGCACCACTAAAGAAAATACCAATAAGAATTTGTCAATTACTCGAGCTGTTAAGAAAAGTAAAAAGTTCCAAAAATAGAGGACACAGATCAAAGCTAATGAATGCATAGTTCTTCCATAAGATTTATAGAAATTAAGTCATGAATACCAGGCCATTAGTCTCATTTCAAAATTGCCACCACGTCGTTGATCCACAAATTCCGGCAGAACCATAGCATCAGAAGTGAAACCAGGTCCCCTAGGATGAAGGCCACTAAACAGCATAACTGCATGGTAAATGCAGTAAAATATTACCATAAAGTGTTTGCAGAACTACAGCTTGAAACATACATGTGCAATTGAAAATGAAAGGGTAGTGGGGGCAAAATGAAACAAAACTGCATATAGTTTAATGATAAAGTTTTCCAACAGCTCAGATAGGGTTAAAACTTGGTATCAGACTCATCCTGGAATGGTTAAAATTAGTTCGTCTGTTGATACACACTCAAGTAGCAAAGTGGGAATCAAACCAATATTATTTTTCACTTCCACTCAATCAAGTGCAAGTATCTGCACCATTAAGAAGAAAGGTCCTTCAAATGATTTGATTACTTGATAGTTTTATGGTATGCACATAGCTTTATGTATAACAAATTGATAGACAAACCTGGCAATTTTGCTGTAGTGTTACTGGAACCCGGGTCATCAAGCATTGAGCCTCTTGCTCCTGTATTGCCAAGAACAAGGCTACCACCATCAAGAAAATAAGTCCTCTCTGCTTCGCTCATATCATCATGCCCTGTTACTGCTGATACCACTACAGAACTGTTTGATTCAGGAGGTGCAGTGGCCTCACCATCACCAGATGAACTTACCAGTGTTGTTTGTGGATGAGATTGAATTTTGTTGGTACTCATAACTTTCTGAACAAATATCTTAGCAGACACCCTTGGTGTGGGTAGGATTGGTCGTTGAACTGATTTTTGCTGATAAACTGCATTACAAGGCTGAGTACAATGTCGTTGATCGGATGATCTAGAAGAGTAAAAGGGCGGCGGAGCTGAACTTATGTGTGATCCAAAGGTTTGCTTGAAAGGAAGGGTTTGTTCATGCTGCAAATGTGCCTTATGAACAGCTGACGAGAAGAGTTTATTGAATGTTACACAACGTGCTTTCTCTCTTTGCATAAAAGGTAATTCTCGATGGGGTGATCTAGTAGCAGAGTAAAAGGGTGGTGGAGCAGAACTTGTGTTTGATCCAAAGATTTGATTGCAAGGAAGGTTTTGTTCATGCTGCAAACTTGTTTGAGAGGAGTGCTTTTCCGCACCTGCATTGTACAAAATCTCTGCATCTTGTGATTTGGAATATGATTTGCTGAAACATAGGCAGCCTCAGTATTAGTGCTAAATCCAGCTAACATTGTATTTTCAAAGGGCACAAAAGGAGAGAAGAAAATGGAACTCCACTTACGTATTATTTTGTGCTGAAGAGATTCTAGAAGTCGTCCGACGAGATTGGTTGGTTCTAGAGCCTCTCTCTCTGTATTTATTTCTTTCATCACTGTAGCCTTTAGCATTGCCATCATATGAATGAAATTGTGTCTGCTTTACATTTTCAACGATTTTGGTGTCATAGTAGGATTTGCATCCATGAAAATAATCATTGTCAACACTATGCATGATACTCGCATTGTCATGCTTATTATCATGGAAATTTATCTCATTAAACAGATCATGCGCCCAAACTGCCTCTTCTTTAGGATCCCATATCTTTTGACCACCAAAAATTTGCCTGAATCAATGGCATGGATATATATTAGGAATCTAAAAACATGTGGGCTATACTTCATTGTGAGTTTTTATGACAAAGAATAGCATGCCAATTTATCTGTTGAAACTCTCATGCAACCAGCCAAGCAGCCCCTTGCCATGTGGGTTTTCTATCTAGTATCTACACAGTTGTAAACAATGTATCCTTACAACAGCGCCACTTATTTGGCAATGTCCTCCACAAGAGTGAATAGTACGCTCACTGTAAAACATAGAGTGCTTCCAGTAATATACCGTCACAATTTTGTAAACAACAGGTTTAATTCGAAAATCGAAGCTGCAACAATATCTCTTTATCACTGCTTACTATATTATTCAGCCTACACTACTGCTCAGATAAACAAGGGAATAAGAAGCGATGAGACTAGGCGCAAACCTTTGGTAACCGCGGTTGCCGTCTTCCTGGCCCTGAAAGCGAATGTCGTGCTGGTAGAAGACGCCTGCCGTCGGCACGGCGTAGGGTTCACTGTCACTAGCCTTCTTCACTTCCTCTCTTCTCATCGCCGCTTCCTCCTCTTCATCCTCTTCCGCTGCCGCTTCATTGTCCTCGTACTTCCCTTCATCCGCCGCCAAAGACACCTCACCATTCACTACTCCAGTCTCTCCACCCCCAACTCCCGCCTCGTACTCCTCACGCACGTCCTCGTATTCCACATCCTCATCCTCCTCCTCAGTGCCGCCGTACACCTCCTCGTCGTCGTACAGCTCGGCGGCGCCCTGCCCGCCGGAGTCGTCGGACCCGGAGCCTAACATCGTGGACGGCGGCGGCGAACCCCTCCTGCTCCCACCGCCGCCCTCCTCCTCCTCGTCGTCGTCGCTCGCCGCCCCGCGACGCCTCGCCGCGGAGAGGGGCCCGTCGTCGAGGTCGCTCTCGTACTCCTCCGTCCCCTCCTCGCACACCTTCTCCGCTGCGGCCATGATTGGGGTTTAGCCAATTGGACGAGAATGCTAGGGTTTATGCCAATTTGAGGGAATCTAGAAGGTCCGAGACTGACTCCCTGCTGATTTGCCGCCGCGCATTCGCTTGATCGCCCTTTTTGGCCTGTACTCTGGGAGTGCTGATCGATCGGCTTGCTTTGTGCCTACTGTCGAGGGGGTTGTTCAAATGCCGGAGTAATCAGACACTGGTAGATGGTCCCAGCGATGACAGTATACTGGTTCTACTGGACAAAGAGGTTAGAGCAACTCGATTGAACAAAATAACCCTCTTTTCCTAAAAACTGTCCCATACTCCCATAGGAGAATGAGATGAAAAAACTACTCGCAAGATTTCTTTTTTCAATCTTCTTTTCCTATTTTATTTTCTCAATCCATCAAAACACCCCCTTAATCCCTCAAATAGAGTGGAGCAAACAACATTTTTTTTTTCTCAATCTCCTTTCCTTCTTCAATCTACTGGAGCATAGTACCCCTATGCTCCAAAACTCTGTTTTCACAATCCTCTTTAGTTGCATACGGGAACTGGATATCCTCGATCTGGTGGCTTTGGTAGCCTGTGTCGAGGATTCTTGATTGAGCGATCTGGTGCCTTTGGTAGTTTGTGTCGAGGATTCTCGGGGCCGCTCTTTTTTTTTTTTTTTTTTTTTTTTTTTTTTTTTTGCTTAGGGCACTCACGACAACGAAAGACAATTTACTCTGTGGCAGCTCTATCTATGATATAGTAAGGAATGTAGATTATTTGTTCAATTGTTATAGTACAAATTCCTAAATACGTGTGGGGCTAGCATGTTAGTTACAGCAGCAACCAGTGAAGAGCAAATTAGAGGGGGTGTACTTAGCTTGTGGATGCAATAGACATCTTTCATAGAGGTGCATATATGGTGAAATTTTAGACATGATTACTGTTTTTATAATTTTTTGGGGGTGCATTTGCACCCCCTAATCTACATGTATCTTCGCCCCTGACAGCAACGAGAAGCTAGCGCTTCTGGTTGCAAAAGGGAGGAGCCGGAGCCTTTTTCATGTATAGTGCTGGAGCCTGAAAAGTGGCTTCATCTTGGGGGGGCGCTCCGACCTCCAAAGCCATGCGGGCGAAGCCCTCCTAGGCCCATAGTCTCAACAATGTGTGACCGGTGTCGATGGCTCCTTCTCGCCCTGTAGCTAACTTCTGCCTACCTAAGACGGTGCTCACGGCTCCTTGGGTGGATGAAAGAGCTAGGGAGAGTTGGGCAGATGACACCAAAACATTCCATACCTTATAGTAGTAGACGGACGACACAGACATTTCATACTTCATGGTAGTAGGTCAGACGAAAAAGTTAGCTAGACGACATGGACATTTCGTACTTCATAGCGGTAGTAAAAATTAGTACAAGATAGCGGGACGTGCCAATAGATTAGTATTTGGAATGCAATATCCTTTTGGCGATTCAACAGCCTATTCTTCTGCAACAAAGTGGTACAAGCAAATCTATGAGGTTCATTGTGACCTCCAAAGTCCAAAGCTATACTGGTACTGGTTTATACACAAACGCTAGCTACCTATCCCCAGCCACCTCGCTATTTCCCTCACAAGGACCTGAAGCCACAATTCAGCACATCCAAGCACCACAACTAACCACACCCCAATCCACCGCTCGTAGCTCTGAATCTTCTCTACCTGTGCTGAAAGGACTCCCGATGCTAGCCCGCTTGCCTGCCTGCCTGCTACTCAATATCTACAGCTAATGAGCTATACCTCCTAAAAGACTGTCCCTGGGACACTAGCTATACTTCACCGTCTTCCTTGCTTCTAGATCTCTGGAGCGCGTACCGGCACGCCGTGATGGCGTCCTTCACCGTGAGGAACACCCACTCCTCCCCTATGATGTCCTTGATGTACCCAGACAGCACCAGCTTCTCTGTCACCTCCAGCCTGGGGTTCGTCAGCGCTATCTGCAATGAGCAACCAAACATGTGTTAGTTTGTTACGAGTACTCATCAGTTCAGTGATTAAAATCTCGTTCTTTGGGGTAAAAATAGCTGGTTTGGAATGGAACTGGTGATTACCCTGATCCCTTTACGATCAAGGCTCTTGTGAACCTCTACTAGCATCCCAATCCCCGTGTTGTCGATTGAAGTCACACCTGCAATGTTCAGGCAAGTGTCACCAGTGGACTGAACTTGCGTGGAAGAAAAAAAAAACCTGAAATGGTAAAGGACATACCACCAAGATCAAGGACCACGTATTGCAAATCTTGCCCGTCAAGCTTGCTGGCGTTCTCCTCATCTTCCACCCATCTTAAAATCCTGTGATGCACGGCAGATTAGCATCTATCTCTTCACATGAAAAGAGGATAAATGATCTGTGGTACAGTACAGATGATGCACTGTGCATGCTCACCTTTCTCGCAAGTAACCTGCATTGACGAAATATATCGGAGATCCCAGCTGCAAAACGAGGACGTTGGGGATGTTCCTCGCGTTCGGGTAGTGCCTGACGTCGCGGAAGAGCTCGCCTCCCGCGATGCTTCCGAGCTTGCAGGTTTTAGGTCTCGCCACATGCAACAGTGCCCTGATCACTGACAAGCCCACCTGCACGTGCACAGGCACACATGAAAAGCGAACCGCATCAACCACACCCCACTTCCTAGCAAGCAGAGTGAGAGCAGTAGCAGGGGGAATGAAGCTAGCAAAGCATACCGATGCACTGAGGCCGATGACCATGGTGAAGAAGATGACGCCGATGAAGGCGACCATGCAGATGCAGAAGTCGAACTTGTCCACCCGGTAGAGGTGGCAGAACTCCTTGACCTTGATGAGCCCGATCATGGCGACGACGATGATGGAGGAGAGCGCCACCAGCGGGGTGTACTTGAAGAGCGGCGCCAGGAACAGCAGCACCAGCATGATGCACACCGACATCACCACGTTGGACATTGGCGTCCGGCACCCGGCGTGGAAGTTCACCGCCGACTTGGAGAACGGACCTGATGATATGCATGCATCCCACAAGATTGTTATTGGTACTTGCCTACTTGGTCAGATAAGATTAGCAGCTAGCAGCGACGGGAATGCATGCAAGAGCAGCAGCCAGCTGCTATGCTATGTTCTCAGTTCTCAGCTCTCACCTGTGGTGAGGTAGCAAGAAGTGAAGGACCCGGCGATGTTCATGATGCCGAATGCGACCATCTCCTTGTTCCCGTCGATCTGCTCGTTCTTTATCAGCGCCAGGCTCCGCCCGACGGCGATTCCTTCCTGAGAGCCATCGACACAGGCTGGTGAGAAACACTTGCCGTGCCGCAAAAAAGACATCCAGATAAACAAAATTCCATGGCTGAGAGATGAGAAGAAACATGTTCGTACTGCCAGTGCCAGGATCCCAGACAAGAAACCTGCTTTCACGGCCGTATTGACGTGCTTGTCTGTAAACGTCAGCTGTGAAATAGACAGCGGGTTGATCCCTTTCTTCAGATCGCCAACCTGCGTTGTCATGATGACAGAACAAGTGAGTTAACCACCACAGTCACATATGCATCATGCACTGCGCTCTCTGGTCTCAAGTCTGGTTCTGGCCATGGACGGGCTTACAATTGGGATGCCATGCTCGTTTCCTTTGACTAGGAAGGCGAAGATGCCGCCGATGACCACGACCATGAAAGGCGCAATGGCCGACACCCAGAACAAATTTGGCCTTTTCTTCCTCTGAAAAAGGTTGCTGAATCAGCTCGCAGACAAGGGGGAAAGTAATGTTACTTGACAATCAGGATTCGATACTTACCAAGTGCTTGCTTGACAACAAGAGCAGGAGGAAGCATATGCCAAGAACTGCACTCTGCCACTTCCACTGGACAAATGGAAAAGGAGACAGATTCAGACAGTTACATTTCAGGATCTTACACGTGCAGTTTCCATTCAAATCATATGGTCCTCAGAAAAGATAAAAGGAAACTTCTATACGTAAGCTTTCTGATGCGCATTATGGGCACGGATCATCACACTTTATCTGACTGACCTTAGCCAGTGCCATCAGATCCAAGTATATAGGGCGGTAGGGCCTGTTTGGTATAAACTTTAGAACTCAAACAGGTGGCCCCAACCTCAGATTAGAGCCAGGCCCTGTTCGTTTCGCTGAAAAGCCAGCTAAAAAATACTGTTGACTGATTTGTTGCGAGAGAAAACACTGTACCATGGTTGATAAACCAGGCTGATAAATTCAACTCAAAACTGAGCTAAAATGCTCTAAAGTTTCAGAGCTTTAAAGTTTAGAGGAGGAAATCCAAACATGTCCATATACATACGGAATAAGGCGATACGAATTTGAAAACACTACAAGAGGGTGTTGAAAAACAAGCATGATATGTCGGCATCTGCTCGGTGCACGCAAGAACTGCAAAGCTTGTGGGGTCAACTCATCAATGATTTGTTTTTTTAAGAATGATTTGGGTCTTTTGTTAGTACTACAACATCCAGTCACGGGTAAAAAAAAAAACAGATACTGTGTGCTCGTCTCGTCTGTCATTGAGATATGCTCGTCTTGTTCAGAAAGTATGTGTCCTGAGACAGTGGTTCAGTTTGAGAAAACTCTGGCTTTTTAAAGGAAAAAAAGGGGAAATACTAGTAACTATTTTACACTGGAAAATTGAGTTTGAGGGGCAGTGAATATTTTGCGCAAATAAAATATTTAGTATGTACGAAAAATTGAAGTTGTTTTTTTCCCTTGATTGATTGACTCTTACTCCTTGGAGAAGTTACTGTGAGCGGTTAAGAGCAACTTCCATCCACGGCACGTCTCATCACCTAGACAGTTACGCCTCTCAGCATGCGGTTCCATGCAAGTTTTAGCCGAATACATAGATAGTAGTATATACTCTTACTTCACAGTAAATGCATTACTCCTCCGTTCTGAATCACTTGTTTTGTTAAACTATTCTGGTTTCGAGCAGATTTAGGGCGGTTTCGCTGGTTGGTCTTTGGTCTTTGGTCTTTGGTGGCTTGGTCTTTGGTTTTTGTGAGAGAAAATACTATTGATTGACCGTTTGGTTTGGGCTAAAACCAACAAGCGAACAAACTTGTTATGCATTGGCATCTATAGTTTCATTAAGTACTCTATAGAATATGTATTATAGTGCATATATTTAAATTTATAGATATCAATATTTCTTGCCAATTTTCGTCCCTTTTCGCTTGGGGTTAAAAATTCCTAAGTTACACGGATACGTGAGGTTGGCCACGTATCCCATATCGAATACGTATCCGACAAGGATACACACTGGATACGCAGCGGATACGTATCGGTGAAGTATCGGTAAAAAAATAAATAAAACAAAATTTCGATATGGAGATGCAGCCTAGCCCACCCAACACTGACCTGAGATATACTATGGGCTATCCCACACGTACAGGGTGGGCTGCTTGCCGGCCACGCGCCGCACCATGCGCCGGCGAGGTCCGTGTTGCATTCGCGCTGGGCGGCGCCGCACCCCGCGCTGTGCGAGCTCTGCGCCGGTGAGGTTCGCGTCGCGTGCTGCATTCGCGCCGAGCGGGCCGCCCGGTGGTCACGCGCGTGGGGTGGAGTGGGGCACAGCCATGGTCGCTCGGCCGCCTGCGCCGAGAGGGACCTCAGTCACCAGCACGGGAGGAGGAAGGCATGGCGCCGGTTGAGGCTGAGCTGCTTGAGCAGGCCAGGCAGGAGCGCCGTCGTGCAGGCAGGTGGCTGAGTGAAGGGCACCGTGTGGGGAAGAATGTTGGAGGAGAGAAAGAAGATTAAAAATCTAATCTTGGGCCCAGCTAAGCGCAGGCAGGGTGTGCCAACATTTACATGTCAAAAATACCCCTCCAATTACCAGCACAGGTAGAAGTAGCAACTAGATGCTGTGAAATTATTAGAGTAGTCTCCAGAGAGCATCCATACATATCGATCGGCTGCCAATAATTTTAATGTGCTTTATATTTTTTGTAAAAATAATAAAACGTATCCACGTATGGAGTTTTCTTCAAAAATGGCGTATCCAAATATCCGTATCCGTCCGATACCGATACACGTATCCGTGTTGCATAGGTCTCACACGACACTCACCTCGTGCCTGTAATGGAAGATGGAGCGCATGACGGAGATGAGGTCTGTCTTGGGCGTGAAGTGCTTCATCCCCAGCATCCCCTTGAGCTGCTGCATAATGATGATCGCCGCCGTGCCGCCCATGAACCCGGTGATCGTCGACCGCGACAGGAAATCCACTATCAGCCCTAACCTTCACCAGACAAGACAAGCATGAAATTCGACTACTTGTTATAGCTAGTAAAAGTTCCGGTTAGTTAACCAAATACTTAAGGCAAAAGCAAGTGTATGTTACGGACCTGAAGACGCCTAGTGCGGTCTGGAAGACGCCGGTGAAGAAGGCGGCGGTGTAGAAGAGCTGCAGGTACAGCTGCGGGTTCTCTTCCGGCGGGACCTCCGTCTCGATGATGGACGCAAGCAGCAGCGACGCCGCCGCCACCGTGCCCACCGCCAGGTTGTTCGAGCTCCCGAACACCGCGTACAGCAGTGGCGGCACGAAACTGGAATCTAGTAGTAGTACAAGACACCAAGAAAAATTAAAATCAATGCGCTTGCGGCGAACGTGTGCAGAGACGCACGTCCACGTCTATCGTCGTGATGGCCGAGAAGGCGGACGTGCGTGCGGAAGAATTAATCCAGAGAAAAGATGCATGGCACGCATACAGAGGCCGATGATGGGCGGGAGGTTGGCGAGCTTGGCGTAGCTGATGCCCTGCGGGATGGCGAGGCTGGCGATGGTGACGCCGGCGAGGAGGTCGTACTTGAACTTGCCGACGCTGTACCGCGGCGCCCACTCCAGGGCCGGCACGAAGTACTTGAGCGCGCCCCACGCCCGCGCAGCGGGCGGGCGCCACCCGAAGCCCCGGAACGGGTCGTCGGGGAAGAACGTCTCCGCCAGGCCCGTGCGCAGAGCCTGCACGAACGGCTGCCGCGCCGACAGGTTCACCTTGTGCTCCGCCGCCGACGACGCCGCGGCGGCGAGGGGGTGGTCGCCATCGCCGGCCGCCGCCGTCCTCATGGAGGGGAAGGGGCTGGACGGATCAGATCACGGGAGTGACGGATCGACGACGACGCGACGACGACGTACGCGGACGAAGGAACCGGGAGGGAGTGCCCTCCGTTGTGTGGTCAGTATCTTCTCCCACAGTCTCCTCACGTATGCCTAAATTAAGCAGGTTTACTGGCGGCCTGGCGGGCAACAGTGAGGCGGTTCCGATTGGATTATCTCGATACGGGCCGAGTGCGCACGGTTCGGGCGCTCTCGTCTCTTTCTTTCTCTCTTCTCGAGCCTGGTTGCTCGTGTTTTGTTTGCATGCGTGCAACCGATGAGAAGCGCATGGCGGTTTATATAGAGCGCCAGAAACCGGTTGGGAAGCGGAAGACGTGGGGGAGACGGGAGAGCGGCGCGGCGGGATGGGCAGGCAGTTCACGCTTTTGCGCGGATTGGCTCGAGCCCGGCTGGGGTGCTGGAATTGTGCATGTGATTGACGATGCCGGAATGATGAGTCGATGAGACAAGCCACCGTTCCACATTTCCGAGAGCATCGTCAAGATATTAGTCAAATTGTTTTCTAAACATAACTAAAAAAATGTTTCTAAACTTTATAAAATAACTCTCTAAATTTAGTAGCTCTCTATCTAATTTATTCGCTATCTACTTTTGGATAGCTTACTTAATAGTCATCTAGTCTCTTAATTTTATAGGGTTTGTTGGAGTACTTTAGTTTTTTTTGTCAGATTTATTTTAAAGAGTAGCTAAATCGGTAAATTTGGCTAGTTTTTTTAACTAATCTCTTGGAGATCCTCTAAAATGTCGAATCGGAGGTGGCAAAACCGAAGCAGTAGGCTTATTTTACAAGCCGTTGGATGCCGTCGGCCACCGAGCCACCGTTTAGATCAACGCTCCTTTCTTCTAGGAATATATTCTTTTTTAGTAAATTGGGCATGTGCTTGTGGCAGAACCGCATAATCTAATGCCTTCTAGGAGTACTTGTCTTTTATTAGACACTAAGTACTTAAGTAAGGACACTAAAGTTCACAGTTCCGTCGAGCACATCCCAAGAGAGAATCCGAAAATCCATATTTTCCCATCAGGATCACAAATGAGAGAATAAAGCTTACATCATTATTAACCATTTCTTACATCACTTTTAATACAACATTAAAGTATAATATTTATTGTTTATAACAACGGAATATGAACATGTTATCAGAGTTATGAACAATTTAATTTAACAGCGGAATATAAACATGTGATCAGAGTTACAGCGGAAATAAATATCTATTCATGATATAATGAAGCATTGATATATACCTAAGACAACAGATTATAAAACATCCATTTATAAAAGCATTTAGTGAGAGTTAGAAGTAAAGACTATGACCGCAGCATAAAGGAATCATCTCTGAGCCCACCAGAAGAAATCCACACACAAGAGTCAGCTCTAACATCCACGTGTCACCTGCAACAGGGGGAAATAAAACCCAGAGTACTTAATTGTACACAGCAAGACTTACCCGATAGAAGAAAAGAAAAGACTCCAAAGATATACAAGGCTATCTGGCTTGTGGGTTTACTGCATCTGCAGGAAGCATTATTAAGCGTGCGTCTTTATATTCAATTTCATTAGCAGTCATCATTAACACATTAACTAACCATTCTATGTAAGTACCTGTGCTACTTTCAAGCAAGTGGTAAGCAATCAGAATCATTTTACCATATTTCATCTTCCAGTTCTTACTACGTTGCTAGACTGTAGACAAGCCGTACCAGAACGCCGGCGTTTCGCGAATCAATACTCCCAGTTGGGTGCCTTGAAACACACGCCCTGCTTGTACCCCAGACACAAGCAGGACCAACCCACTACCCTCCTGTCACGGGGTCTAGGTCCTCGTTCAAACTTAGACTCCAAGCCCCCGCTCCTAAGTCCCGGACTCAGTGTGGTGCTAGGACCTCCACCCAAAAACCACCCTGAAAGTCGGTCCAGAAAGAGCCGGAACCCATGATAAGAGAGTAACAAGTCTTCCCGCGCCCATACACAAGTATGTGTTCAGGATAATAAATCTGTGACCTGCCTAGAACCCAATGCAACGGTCGATCCTTAACCGACATAGACAAGAAAAACAGTGTAACCAAGCTATGTCCCGTTGACCGCAGGACACAACCTCTTACACCCATCAATACCCAAACCATATCCCTATCCGATCTCTATTTTTTATTCATATATATATATATTCCAAGTGATAATAATATAGTAACAACAATAATATGTTTTCTATCTCTCGCGAGTGACAGGCAATCACTCGACTTCTAGAGGAGTCCTGTAACATAGCAATCTACACGATCCTGTCATACTAGTAAGACTCATAGGATAAATGTATATATGCAAGTGGTGAAACATCCTCAATTTTTCGCGAAGGGAAAATCCATAGAATGAATTATAATATGATGAAACCAATAGTTGATTCCATCATATTATCATATATCAGTCGATATCACAGTCATACATCGTAAGATTACAAGAATACAAGATATTACATCACTGGAGAACACACCTATTACAGAGTTAATCTAGCGGAAGACTATCGAGTGAATGCTTCTCCTTCACGGGTCGTCATCAGAGTTGGCGTAGTGCAGCGTAGATTCCATCTCCGAACCAAACTTGAGCGTAGGCATGAGACCTCCTAATCTTTCTAGAGTCAGCATCTCTGAGAAGCAGGAAATCTGCACACCGCCAGATGTGTGCAGGCCATGGTCAGCACCGATGAGCTTTAGTGGAAAAAGATAAATAAGGGATCTGGAGATCCTAATATTTGGCTGTGGTTTGCATTCTTAGCGCATGAGAAGTAAATAACAATTGTATCATAATAATAATATCTACTTTTTTAACACATCCACCACCACATCATCCATATCCATCCACCAACCATCCATCCCAAACCTTCTCCACACCACCACACCTTATCTCATCTCACACACTCAGGTCGACAGGCCAACTCCCTCTCGGTCTTGTCTCAACGGCCCGCAGCCCCAAGGCTCACGACCGGAAAATACCCCAAACCCTGGAGGGAGAATAGAAGGACTCATCTCGCTATCTAGTTTAAGCGAAACCCAGGAAAGGTCCATAGCCGACAAGTCGACATATGTATCGATCGATCAACCAAACACTCTGCAGAGGTTTTACATACCCACAAGATAGCCATCCTCGACGGTGCCCCGTATAGGCAGATTTCGGCCGCTTGCTAGCCTAGAACGATGCCACCCTACCTCTCAGCCCTGGAACATCTCAAGTCTAGTCTGGAATGGTTGATACTGTGAGTCATAGACAGAGCCGGGGCCCACCAGATGTCAAGAGCTGGGTCCACAAGGCCTCCTGAAGTCTTGGAAGGGTGTGGGGGAAAACCGCGCGCCCCGTGCCTCCTTGCACACGTTCGCCTAGCAGTAGTGGCATCGCTCTACCAAGTAGTCCGGCCGTCTCGCACCATATAGGGCAAGTGGGATGTAAAGGATTCCCGGTGAGTCTGAGTACTAGTAAGTCCTTAGGGATGACCAAGCCAGAATGTCTTCATCAGGGTTTCCATTTTACGTGCCACCACAGCACCTCTACCCGGGCTCCACCTCTCCGAGGTTCACACCCAAGGCCACCTCCAATTACCATTTACCCGCCACAGGTATTCCATATCCAAGTGCCCAGGTAGCACCACATGGCAAGACTCGCCCTAGGCTCGTCGTTATTCCAGCTCGGTCGACACAACCCTCACTCTCCACGCACCCAAGACACACGCAACACGCTCACACACCACCAAGTCCGGCACCCATAGCCAAAGCATTCCCAGGGGGTGCACCACCAGCATCACATCCTCGATATAATGCGAAGTGGAGTTAATAATAAGTATAGTGGTGTAATATGCAAGCAAGCAGGCAAGTAAGCATATATAAGCGAGCGAATGCGCAAAGCAGGGTGACGTGGTAGAGTGGGTTGCATCAGGGTAATAATGGCTCAGGTAGTATCATGCATCAAAGTTCTAGCAAAGGAATAATTATAAAGCGCTAGCAGTTCTAGATATTGTGCAATGTCTAATAGGATTCTCTAAAAGAGGGTGCTGCCATGACACCTGCGATGTCGAGGTAGTAGTGGTACAAATCTTCGCTAGTTGATGTAGTCGATCAGCAAGGTCTCCTCTTCGCAGGGTCCTATCGTCGATCATGTCCTCCTTCTCCATCGGGTTCCGATCCAACGTTTTCCTCGAGGCAATTACCTCCAAAACTCATTCAAAGCAAGAGAACAAACAATATCCCAAAAAGGCGACAATACCCAGAAGGAACACAAAGAGGAAATGACTTGGTCCTCTCGGCTGATGTCCAATCCATGGGCCAAGGAAACACGAGTGGTGGTATGCTGAGCACAAGCTTAAGTCATGGCCAAGCCAATATGGATTTACGATAAACGGTTTAAGCCAGAGCTTATCCAGAGCAAACACCACGGCTCACGATCTTTCGATTCGGTGTCATTGAATTGACGGGGATTGGAAGTCAGGCCTCAAGAAAGAAGAACGACGGGGTTTGGCTCTTATAGCCTTATCCCGCAAGTCACCATTGGATGCAAGAAGTGGACAAGAACGAATAACACTATTGTGACTTGGCTCCAATGTACTTCGGCTCGTCCGCTATGGTAGAATGCGGTAGCGCAAAGAGATTGGACAGCAATGGGTCCTCTCGATCCACATGACATAATAACATCGAAAGCCGAGAAGAGAGTCGCTCAACACGGCAAAAGATGCGGGGACTAGCTAGGCACATCCATGTCATGTTCTCAGACACATCTTTGGGAAAGATGGTTTTAGACGGTCGATCGGGTCGACACACATGGGTCCGAGGTACGACATAGACCATAGCTTCGCTAACCAAAAAGAGATAGTCCAGTCTTTGATCCAATCACCATGGATCAGGCAGGATCGAACAGAGTCGGCTAATAGGGCAATAGCAGCAGAGAACAGAGGTCTGCTCCTTCCAACACA